CAGCCAGGCCATCCATGCCCCGACATGTGTCTTGAGGCAACAGCAACAGCAGCCAAGTGCAGCAGGATCCCATGTGGCCGTCATCCCACTTCTTCTGCTTGCTTGTGGCTGCAATGAAGCAGGAGGCCAAGTGGTGTGCTGGTGTCGCAGCCGTGAGGCAAGACAGGTGTCAGGCTGTGGATGGTCTGGCTATGGGGGCCCTGAGGTAAGCTGGGGCAGTTCCACCCCACATGCCTCGCAGCAGCAACACTAGCATACCACATGGCTTCTTGCCCCACCATGGGCAAGCAGAAGACATGGGGCTCCAGTACATAGAAAAAAATAAGACATCCCCGAAAATAAGCTCTAGTACTTATTTTGGGGCCCAACATGGGTATATACATATATAAATTGACTGGAGTGAATTTACAAATGAAAAAAAAAACCTGGGAAAACTAAATGCCCTCGTCACTTCTCGCCTGGACTACTGCAATGCTCTCTACATGGGGCTCTCCTTAAAGAGCACCCGGAGGCTTCAACTGGTCCAGAATGCGGCCGCGCGGGTAGTCACGGGAGCCGCATGGCGCTCCCATACAACACCTCTCCTGTGTGAGCTGCACTGGCTCCCAGTGGTCTTCCGGGTGCACTTCAAGGTGTTGGTTATCACCTTTAAAGCGCTTCATGGCATAGGACCTAGTTATCTTCGAGACCGCCTGCTGCTACCGACGGCCTCCCATCAACCTGTGTGCTCCCACAAAGAGGGCCTCCTCGGGGTGCCATCAGCCAAACAATGTAGGCTGGTGACCCCCAGGGGGAGGGCCTTCTCTGTGGGGGCACCTACCCTCTGGAATCAGCTGCCCCCAGAGATAAGGAGAATCCAAGATCTCTGTTGTAGCGCGGGAATAACGAGAGGCACAAGCAAGCTAGTGACAACAGCTCTTTAATTCAGGGTGAGACTTCAGCAAAAACCACAGGCAACAGCCCTCCTTATATACAGTACTGAAACACCCGTTAACCAATCACAAAGCATTGTTTCATTTGAATTTCCCGCACAAAATAGATACATACATAACACCCCTCCATTCCCAGAAGGCACTTATCCTATCTATTTACATATTTACATACAAAATCACGCAGGTGACCAGGGCGTGACTTTACTCTGGTTGACTTGCGCAGTTCAGTTACTGGAGAGGCATCGAGCTGGTCAGAGGGACCTCCCATCTCTCCTGGCTCCGCCAATGGAACCTCCTGGATTTCTCCAGAGGCGTGGCCATCCCCGGCTGGGAGTGTCAACTTGCTGGGGCGGCGCTGGAACTCAGGCTTGCCCGATAAGTATTCCGGTTTATTCGGGGAAACTTTGGAAGTTAGGTTTTACAGTGTTGGAGTTTTCACATTGCAAACGTTTACACAATTGATCTATGTGCCTTCTCCAAATTTTACCTTGACCTATATCCACTGTGTATGACTTTGGACCGGTGATCCCTACAATAACTCCCTCAATCCACAGAGGGCCATTGGCATAATTCCTAGCGAATACTGGGGTTCCGATTTGGAATTGTCTTAATCCTCCCTCTTCTCCCTTGTAATTGTCTGTGGAGTAGTTTGGGTGTAAGCGATCGAGAATGCACCTGAGTTTACGGCCCATTAAAAGCTCAGCTAGGCTGTGCCCTGTGGAAGCGCACGGGGTTGCGTGTTGTATTGCTAAGAATTGATCAATCCTAGCTTGCCAATCTCCCGCATCGAGCCAGGACAGTGCTTCCTTGGCCGTTCGTACAAATCTCTCTGCAAGGCCATTCGAAGCCGGATGAAAAGGAGCAGATAATGCGTGTCATATGCCCAACTCGGCCAGATAGCCCTCGAATTGGGTTGCTGTGAATTGGAGCCCATTATCCGAGACCAGGGTGTCTGGCAATCCGTGAGTAGCGAAAAGTTTCCTGAGGACTTTAATTACGGCCTCAGAAATGGTCGAGGGCATCAAAACTATTTCTAGCCACTTTGAAAAAGCATCTACAATTATGAGAAAATTCTGGCCGTGGAAGGGGACTGCAAAATCGATATGGATCCTCCCCCAAGGTCCCTTTGGCTTTTCCCATTCTCTAACGGGAGCTACAGAGGGATCCAGGCGGGACTCCTGGCAGAGCCTGCATTTCCCCACTCACTCAGTGACATCTTGGTCAAGATGTGGCCACCACACATAGCTTCAAGCTAGACTTTTCATTCTAACAATACCAGGATGCCCTTCGTGTAGCAACTCTAACACTCTATGCCTTAAACGAGAAGGAATAACCACCCTGTCGCCCCACAACAAGCAACCCCCCAACATTGACAGTTCATTCTTTTTGTTGAAAAACAATTGAAAATCTCCACTGTCCACCTTAGTAGGCCAACCCTGCATTACCCAGCCCATCACAGTACGTAACACAGAGTCCTTGGCAGAAGCCTTCGCCACTTCACCAGAAGAAAGGGGCCCCAGGGACACAACATCAATCAGTAAAACAGGGGCTTCCGGAGTCGGGTTCTCTAATAGTTCGGGCAAGGGACATCGGCTGAGGGCGTCAGCATGGCCCAGGGTTCGGCCCGGTCGATGGAATAGTCTGTACGAATAAGCAGCCAGGAAAATAGACCATCTGGTCATCCGGGGGGAGAGAGCTGCCAGGGTCAGCCTGTCACCAGCCAAAAGTCCCAATAATGGCTGATGGTCCGTGATAAGTTCAAAAGTCCAGCCAAACAAATATTCGTGAAATTTTTTGACCCCTGCTACAGCCGCTAATGCCTCCCTGTCAAGCTGGCTGTAATTTCGTTCTGCACTAGACAAAGTGCGAGAGTAATAAGCAATGGGTGCCTCTAACCCATTTGGTAATCTATGGCTTAACACAGCACCCACACCAAAAGAGGACGCATCGCAAACAAGTATGAGCGGCAGTTCGGAGTTATATTATATGAGAAAACTGTCCTCGGATAAAAGTTTTTTTACTGCCCTAAATGCAGCCGCTTCTGATTTGCCCCACACCCAGAGAATGTTTTTTCCTAGAAGTCTATGCAATGGTTCCACAATGGTGGCTTTGTCTTTTAGAAACATGATGTAGAAATTAAGAAGTCCGAAGAAAGCCTGCAGTTCGGGCTTCAATTTGGGCGTGGGTGCATTCTGAATGGCCCTTACTTTGCTTTCCGTGGAGTGAATGCCCATGTCGTCAATTCGGTAGCCCAAAAATTCTACGGAGGGTACCACTATTTTACATTTGGACTTTTTAAGTTTAAGTCCCGCTTCTCTAAACCTGGTTAGGACTTGTCTAACCCTATCCTCAAACTGCGCCTCATTTTGGCTACTAATGAGGACATCGTCAAAATAGGGGACGACCCCTGGGAGTCCTTATAGAAGGTGCTCCAAGGTGCTGTGGAAGAGCCCTGGGGCGATGCTAACCCCAAACTGTAGTCTAGTACATTTGAATGCACCTCTGTTCATTACTATAGTCTGTGATTCTGCCGTAGCGTCATCTACTGGCAGTTGCTGGTACGCCTGCGCAAGGTCTAACTTGGCGAATAGCTTGCCAGGGCCCAGGGAGTGAAGTAGATGGTGGACGATCGGAACGGGATAGGCGCGCTGCTGCAACACCTTGTTGATCGTGCATTTATACTCAGCGCAGATTCTAATTGATCCGTCTGATTTTACTGGCGTGACTATTGGGGTTTCCCACTTAGCGTGATTTATGGGAACTAGCACCCCCTGTTTGATTAATTTGTCAAGTTCTGCATCTATTTTTGGTTTTAGGGCAAATGGTACAGTGCATAATCCAAGTCAATAGGAAGTGTTCCATCTTCATCAAGGAACTTGTATTTGTCATTGATCATGTAGACCAGGGGTCTCCAAACTTAGCAACTTTGAGACTTGTGGACTTCAACTCCCAGAATTCCCCAGCCAGGATAGCTGGCCTGGGGAATTCTGGGGAATTACAGAATACAGAATAAGAGTTGGAAGGGAACTTGGAGGACTTCTAGTCCAGGGGTGAAATCCAGCAGGTTCTGACAGGTTATGGAGATCCAGTAGCAGACATTTTTAGTAGGTTGGAGAACCGGTAGCGGACATTTTGAATAGTTTGGAGAACCAGCAAATCCCATTTCTGGCTAGTCCCATTGTGGGGTGGGAATGGAGATTTTGCAATAGCCTTCCCCCAGGAGTGGGGAGGGAATGGGGATTTTACAGTATCCTTCCCCTGCTATGCACACCAAGCCACACCCACCAAGCCACACCAGGCCCACCAAGTCACACCCACAGAACCGGTAGTAAAAAAAATTGAATTTCACCATTGTCCTAGTCCAATCCCCTGATCAAGCAGGAGACCTTATATCAGGGGTCTCCAAGCATGGTTGGTTGGGAATTCTGGGAGTTGAAGTCCACAAGTCTTAAAATTACCAAGTTTGAAGAACCCTGATGTAGACACATATGTTCTCCTTCAGCTCCAACACAGATTTCAAATTGGATGGAGCTCCATTCCTTTAAAGGGCTTCCCTGCATCGTTTTCAACTGATGTTATGCATATATTGCATTCCAATTCATCAATTCTCTATGATTTGACTCCCCCAAGAATGTCCCAGGAATAGCAAAAAAGCTGTAGGAGACAGCTACAGGAGCTGTAGGAGCTCTCAAATAGCAATGGAGCAACTCTTTTCATCCATCGCTCTGTGGTCTTTCATGAGATAAGGCCAGTCTTCTCCAAATATGCACTCTTCAAGAGCAGATGGAAGCCATGGTCAGGAGGACTTTTACTCATCTTCAGTTGATACCCTGGTTGCCGCTTTGTCATTTAGGAATAGGATGTGCTGACAAGAGTCACAATGCCCTAGTCATCTCTCAGTTTGACCATTGTAATTTCACTTTATCTGAAGCCAACTTTGAAAACTTCGGCTGGCACAAGACAGCTGTATGTTAATGGTATGGCCATGTCATAGTGCCGCTATGGGAACCAAATTGTTTCAGAGGGAGTTGACAATGCTGGCCACTACCTTTATAAAGCCATCTGTCTCAGGACCTGAGCATTTTAGAGAGGCTGGACAACAGAGAACATCTGCTGAAGATCTCCTCTTATTGAAAGCCCAAAGTGAAAGAGGACCATACCTATTAGCTCTCCCAGGTAAACCGGACAGGAAGTGTGACTGGATTAATTAATTCTACTTTACCGTAAGGCTATATTAATACAATTTTGGAAGCCACTTTGGTGAGGTGGATGATATAGACATGTGATGGATGAATGAATGAATAACGAATCTGAAAATACAAACTTTTCACCATTGCTTTTAGCTGCTTGATCCATTAGGACAGGTCTTTGCTAAATTTCTTTCTCTGATCTTTAAGCTCCTGAGAGTCCCTGCTTCTCTTGTCTAATTGTCTCCTAGATCAGGGGTCTCCAACCGTGGCAACTTTAAGACTTTAAGCTTTGCTGGCTGAGGAATTCTGGGAGTTGAAGTCCACAAGTCTTAAAGTTGCCATGGTTGGAGACCCCTGTCCTAGATAGCATCTCTTTCTTTCGTCCCCCAAGGTCATCCACATATTCTATTATATTAACCGACCTCCCTCCAATGGAACAGCTGACTGGATGGTCCACACTATCCTGATCTTCCAAAATGTGGTTTAAACCTAGCTGTACTTCTTCTGTGAACAGTATGAAGCCATCAGCGTGCCTCTTAATGCTGAATGTGCATTACAGGTAGTCCTTGACTTACAACAGTTCATTTAGTGACCAAAGTTACAACAGCACTGAAAAAAGTGACGTGACCGCTTTTCACACTTATGACCTTTGCAACAACCCAGTGGTCACGTGATCAAAATTCAGACGCTTGGCAATTGACTCATATTTATGACGGTTGCAGTGTCCCAGGGTCATGCGGTGACCTTTTGAGACCTTTGAGACACCCGACGTCAATGGGGAAGCCAGATTCACTTAACAACTGTTGGATGAAAGGTCATAAAATGGAGCAAAGCTCACTTTACAACTGTCTTGCTTAGCAACAGAAATGTTGGAGGTCAATTGTGGTCGTAAGTCGAGGACTACCTGTATTACAGTGACTGAATGTCTTTATTATGATTGTGCTTTAAAATATGTAAAATTTTGGATTTTAACATCAATATGGATATTGGACTGAGATTGCAGATAAGGCTGGTGGATAAAATATATCTACTACTGTATGCTGGGTCCCCTAATTCCGATTAGTATAACCAAAGTACAACCATGGTTAGTATAACCATCGTGTTCATTGGGGACTGTGCAGATCAAACTCCAGCACATGTAGGGGAAATAGTTTCAGAAGTGCAGGATAGCTAATCAAGAAAAAAAAAAACCAAATAAATTGTGTTGGTTATGAGAAAAAAAAAATCCAGATATACTGAAATATAACTTTACCTTTACTGGTAGTTTTTTTTTATTTATAACTAGTTGCTTAGCAACCATTCAAAGTTACAATGGACACCCCTCCCCCTGAAAAGCTACAGGTAGTCCTTGACTTACAGCCACAATTGAGCCCAAAACTTCTGTTGTTAAGTGAGACATTTGTTATGTGAGGCTTGCCCCATTTTACAACATCTCTTGCCACAGTTGTTAAGTGAATCACTGCAGTTGATAAGCTAATACCATGGCTGTTAAGTGAGTCTGGTTTCCCCATTGACTTTGCTTGTCAGAAGGTCGCAAAACAGGATCACATGACCATGGGACACCGAAACAGTCATAAGTATGAAACAGTTGCCAAGCATCTGAATTTTGATCACATGATCATGGGGCTGATACAAAGGTCGCTAGTGTGATCATCAGTCATTTTTTTCCGTGCCATTGTAACTTTGAAATGGTCACTAAATGAATTGTTGTAAATCGAGGACTACCTATACTTATGACCCAGTTTCAAAGTTCTGACATTGCCCCTCTGAGATCATGTGATTGATTTTTGGCCCTCAACAACTGTCCCACATTTACAGCCATTTGCAGTGCCTCATAGTCACATGACTGTGATATATGATAGCTTTGCTGGAAACTAGCATTTATGTTTGGTTTCTGTCAAAAACCGACCCAAAGCAAGTGACGGTTTCACTTAATGACCACAGTGTTTGCTTAACAACTACAGCAAAAAAAGCTCATGATATTGGGTCTGGTCACAGGGTGACCAGACACTTTACAACTCTCATGACTTACAATTGTAACTGCCAGCCTAAATTATGGTCTTAACTTGAGAACTGTCTGTATTAAATCAGTGGTTGGTTGCCCCCGGTTCGCATCGGTTTTATAGAATCGGTAGTAAAACTGGCGGGAAGCTCCGCCCACCGACCCCCAACGTCCTCAAAATGAATGAATGGAATGTGCGCGCAGAAGAGCGCGCATGTGCACAAGCAAAGCGCGTGCACGCAGCCCCATTGCAAACCAGTAGTAAAGGTAAGTAGAACCCACCCCTGTATTAAATCCTCTGAGGATTTATAAAATGAGACAATTCCAATATGCCTTTTTCTTATCACCAGTTCCGTATTCTGTTCTGCTGTTCCTTCATTCACGCTTTATTTTATTTAGCCATATGATTCTCAATCTGACTCCCATTAGTTCTTCTAATACTGTATATTTGGTTTTTAACCCTTCTCCGCTTCTCAACCCATTAAACTGTGGACTTCTAATCTGCTTCAGCCGTGCTCTATTTGTTCAGAAGATTAAACCTAACGTGAGTACCCCTGATAGTCATTAATAAAATGTACAGTTGAATCAGATCTCTCTTTATTTATCCCTGACTTGGTGGGGAAAAAAGCACCATGGAATAAATGAAGATCCAAACAATATTCCTGATTTGGAATTTGTATATGATGTGGATAAAAACTAGGGCATCACTGCATAGCAAATACTGTTTGGTGAAAATGCCTGTACAGTACAGTCATCATTAAAAGTACAAACCAGGGAAATATTCCTTCAAATCTTTTCTGAACCATAAATTCACAACGTGCCTCAGGTAGGCTGCCTCCTCCTCGGTGCTGTCCTCATTTGCACCTTAAGGCCGTGGCACAAACATGTTTTACCAAGATCTTCTTTACCTGTTGTGTCTCCAAGACGTTACTTTCATCCTGTCTCCAGCACAGAACTCAGACAGGCTTATGAAAATGGTGTTTAGCTGTAACAGCATTATTTCTATCCTGCTTTTTCTGTAGGAGCTCAAGGCAACTTGTGGGGTTTCTCTATACTTACTCCTATCTGGTAAATTTGTTTGTTTGTTTGCTTGCTTGCTTGCTTGCTTGTTTCTTCTTTTTTTTCCTTTCTTTCTTTCCTTCCTTCTTTCTTTCTTTCCTGTCTTTCTTTCTTTCTCTCTTTCTTTCCTCCTTTCCTCCTTTCTTTCTTTCTTTCCTTTCTTTTTTCCTATTTCCTTTCTTTTTTCCTTCTTTCCATTTTTCCTTCTTTCTTTCTTTTAAAATAATATTGATTAAAGATTACAAGATTAAAGGTTAAAGGTTAGAAAAAGAATTAAATATTAAATATTAGAAACAATATGAATATATGTGTGTGTGTGTGTGTATGTGTGTGTATAGTTTATTGTCATTGTACGTATATACACAGTATACCCATACAACGAAATTCACATAACACATAATACAAATGACATAAAATATAAGACTGAAAAAGAAAAACAGAAAATGCGGAAAAATAAAAAATAAAGAACTTCCCCCTTCATCTTGACTAGTACAAACGATAGGTAATTTATCACCTCCTCTTCAATTACAGCAAATTCTTTCTTCTTTCCATATCTTAACTCTTAGCTCTAAACAAGCTCTTAAAATCTCACCATCTTGATTGAGCTAGTTTTCTTTACATACTTATCATGACCACATGGCAGGCATTTCCCAAGAATATCAAGACAGCTTGCAAAATACAGGTAGTTCTCATATAGTTCTCGATGTTTACGAGCGATTGCCCACTCCGACCCCCAAAGCACTGCTCGTTTCCCGGGTTGTTCAGAGTCTCAGACCCTGGGTCTACGGCTGATGTTATGTAATGCCAGGTCAGTGGTAAATAAAGCCCCCCTCATTCATGATCTTATTTCAGAGGGGGGTGCTGACCTGGCAGGGATTACGGAGACCTGGTTAGGCCAGGAGGGAGGAGTTCCCCTTGTAGAAATGTGCCCGCCAGGTTTCCATGCATTCCATCAGCCAAGGACTCAGGGAAGGGGTGGGGGAGTGGCAGCAATCATTAGAGAAAGTCTTTGCCCGAGGGAGGCCACTGTTCCTCAGATAGCCGGATGTGAGTCCCTCCTTGTGAAGTGGGGTCAGGGGATTCAGATGGGCCTACTGATTGCGTACCTGGCTCCCTGCCACGTAACAGCAGTCCTGCCTGAGTTGCTCGACATTATAGCCGGGGTGGCGGTGGAAACCCCCAGACGTATTGTTATGGGGGATTTTAACCTGCCATCTGCTGGTGAGATGTCGGAGACGGCTCGGGAGTTCATGGCTTCCATGACGGCCATGGACCTGACCCAGGTAGTTCAAGGCCCCACCCACTTGGGGAATCACACTCTGGACTTGATTTTTGTCTCTGATCAGTGGCTGAATGATCTAAGAATAGGGGATATAGACATCAAGCCCTTGTCATGGTCTGATCATTCTCTCCTTCACATGGACTTTCAAGTCACTTCCACCCACCGCAGGGAGACGGAACCAACCAAATGGTTCCGTCCCAGGCGCCTGATGGACCCCGAAAGGTTCCTGATGGAGCTTGGGCCATTTCCTGAGACTCTGGCTCACGACTCGACTGAGGACCTGGTGGTCGCCTGGGACAGGGCGGCTACTGGGGCCTTGGACCGCGTCGTGCCTTTGCGGCCTCTGACCCAATGCCGATCTCGTCTAGCTCCTTGGTTTTCCGAGGAGCTGAGAGAGATGAAGCGAGAGATGAAAGACACCTGGAGAGCGATTGGAGGACAAGCCGATCTGAATCTGACCGAACACAGGTGAGATCTTATATTAAGACCTACCTAGTGGCGATAAGAGCGGCGAAGTCTAGCTACTTCTCCGCTCTTATTGCATCTGCAGAGAACCGCCCAGCTGCGCTATTTAGGGTGACCCACTCCCTACTTCAGGTGGGGGTACAGGAAGATCCCTTAAAAGGTCGAGCTGAGGATTTTG